AGGTCTAATTCCAGCACCAAACCAGGTCTAATTCCAGGTCTAAACCAGAGTCGTGTGTTCGAGTCGTGAAGCTGCTGATGTGTTTAAAATGTGTTGGTGTTTTCTGTATCTGTCTCATCTGCTCTGCTCTTTCAAAATGTCTCCTCCCTTTGTCCCTCTGTCCCTTTGTCCTTTTGTGTCTTTTGTCTTTGTGTCTTTTTGTTCAGGTTTGTGTTGAGTTTTATCAGACAAGAAGAGCAGGAAGCAAAGAAGTGAAACAAAACGGAGAAACAAGTGCTGCCAAAAAATGCAGTTCATTAATGTTGAGATTTACGAATTTAGAAAAAACAGGACTAAACCAGGTCTAAACCAGGACTAAACCGGGTCTAAATCGGGTCTTTGTGTTTTTCAGGATGTTTGTTTGAGAAGAATCTGTGTGGACGGGAGCAGATCTGCAGTGACGGTAAGATTCTGTCTCTGTTTGTGTGAAGAACTAAGGACTAAGAGAGTGAGCTCCAAGTAAATAAAGCTCATCGAGGTCAGCAGTGATGGGGCCAATTTGGACCCGAGTTCCGTCGTATTAACAGGAACTGACAAAATAGTGAAATAAAAACAGCAGGATCATGTGTCGCAGGTTAATGTGAATATTTAAGACCAAAATGTGGAGGCTCCCAGCAGCAGCGACAGAGACGAGGACAGTTTTTCATGCTCTTCTTTTAATGGACGTGACGTTTTCAGCCACAGAAGGTTTAATTTTACAGACTCCCTGAAAGTCAAAGTGAAATAATGATGAGGCAGACTCGGCCATTTTGACAAAATGTAATTTCTGCAACTCAAAATTCTTCTGAGTCTCTTGTGCGGCCGTCACGAGCTTGTGTTCATGTTTGATGTGACGCTCCTAACGAGACGACGGGTGATGTTCTCAGATCTGTGTGAGAGCATCACTGAGCTCCTGTAGAGTCTGTGGAGGAACCTGGAGTGTCTGATGGATCCAAACAGAACGTCCCTGAGGTGTTGTGTCGGGTTTAATTCAGGTGATCTTGAGGGTCGTTCATTTTTTCCACATGAGGCCGGACGTCGTGCATCAGGAGGAACCAGGAGCCAGGACCAGCACAGGGTGTGACTGGGGGTTCAAGGATTTTTAGACTCCTGTTTTATAGCTGGTAAAGATCTTTGTGTCCCTCCATGGACCTGACTCACCAGAAGATCACTGACCCACCACCAAACTACTCATGTGAAACATGGAGCAGCAGAAGAGTGTTCTCCTCAGAGCGTTCTCCTCAGAGCGTTCTCCTCAGTGTTCTCCTCAGAGCGTTCTCCTCAGAGTGTTCTCCTCAGAGCGTTCTCCTCAGAGTGTTCTCCTCAGTGTTCTCCTCAGAGTGTTCTCCTCAGTGTTCTCCTCAGTGTTCTCCTCAGTGTTCTCCTCAGAGTGTTCTCCTCAGAGTGTTCTCCTCAGTGTTCTCCTCAGTGTTCTCCTCAGTGTTCTCCTCAGTGTTCTCCTCAGAGTGTTCTCCTCAGAGCGTTCTCCTCAGTGTTCTCCTCAGAGCGTTCTCCTCAGTGTTCTCCTCAGTGTTCTCCTCAGAGCGTTCTCCTCAGAGCGTTCTCCTCAGAGCGTTCTCCTCAGAGTGTTCTCCTCAGTGTTCTCCTCAGAGTGTTCTCCTCAGTGTTCTCCTCAGAGTGTTCTCCTCAGTGTTCTCCTCAGAGCGTTCTCCTCAGTGTTCTCCTCAGAGCGTTCTCCTCAGAGCGTTCTCCTCAGTGTTCTCCTCAGTGTTCTCCTCAGTTCTCCTCAGTGTTCTCCTCAGAGTGTTCTCCTCAGAGCGTTCTCCTCAGAGCGTTCTCCTCAGAGCGTTCTCCTCAGAGCGTTCTCCTCAGTGTTCTCCTCAGTGTTCTCCTCAGAGCGTTCTCCTCAGTGTTCTCCTCAGTGTTCTCCTCAGAGCGTTCTCCTCAGAGCGTTCTCCTCAGAGTGTTCTCCTCAGTGTTCTCCTCAGAGCGTTCTCCTCAGAGCGTTCTCCTCAGAGCGTTCTCCTCAGAGCGTTCTCCTCAGAGCGTTCTCCTCAGAGCGTTCTCCTCAGAGTGTTCTCCTCAGTGTTCTCCTCAGTGTTCTCCTCAGAGCGTTCTCCTCGTCTTCTCCAGACTCTTTCACGTCTGTCACAGGAGCTCAGGGTGAACCTCATTTCTCAGGCCGCTCTCATGACGTCTGTTTGTGATGGTTTGGGCAGAAACATTCACACCACTATCCCGCTGGAGCTCAACCTGTTCCTCCTCGAACAAAGGAGCAGATGTGGGTCCTGCTGATGGTTCAGGACCTTCTCCAGCTCTGTCCTGCTCTCCTAGAGGAACTGTCTGACTCCTGAAAGCTCCTCCGTGTTCTGGAGCTTGTGCTGGAGACACATTAAATCTCCTTTCAGCTTCTGTAGGGTTCAGGAACGTCCTCATCCTCCCAGTGGAGATCATCACTGTCACCAAAGCAGCACGAGTGGAAAACCAGACAAAAACCAAAGAAAAACTTGTCCTGTTTTAGGGTTTGTCTCTTTGGTGTTGCTCTGGTGCAGCCGCTGTTTTCATTTCCAGTAAAAGAGGATCATCTTTTTGTTCCTCAGACGTTCAGGATCTTTTATTTTCTCGTTGAGATCTGATGACTTTTCAAAATGTTCCTTTAATTTTTCTGAGCAGCATATGTACAGGATATGGTTCAGTCCTGATTCAGTCCTGGTTCAGTCCTGGTTCAGTCCTGGTTCAGTCCTGTTTTAGTCCTGGTTCAGTCCTGTTTGGTCTGTTGAGTCTCTCGTGCTTCAGTGTTTGCTTTAGTTTGTGCTTTCGTTTGAGTCCAGTGAATGTTTAATCGATGAGAAAAGGAAAAAGCTTTCGAGAGAAAAAAACGAGAGCGACATGTTCTAAGAAAACCGCCCGAAGAAACGTGAACATCCACCAAAACAAACAGGACTGAACCAGGACTGAACCAGGACTGAACCAGGACTAAACCAGGACTAAACCAGGACTAAACCAGGACTGAACCAGGACTAAAACGGAGACTAAAACAGAGACTAAAACACGACTAAACCAGGACTAAACAAGGACTAAACTAAGATTAAAACAGGACTGAACCAAGACAAAACCAGAACTAAACCAAGGACTGAACCAGGACTAAACTAGGACTAAACCAGGACTAAACAAGGGCTAAACCAGGACTAAACAAGGGCTAAACCAGGACTAGAACGGAGACTAAAACAGGACTGAACCAGGACAAAAATAAGTACAAAATCTTTATTTAAACCTTTTCAAAATCAATTCTGTGGCAGTTGCAGTAGCAGTTCTAGTAGTACTAGTAGCAGTAGTAGTACTCATAGTAGTATAATTGTAGCAGTAGTAGTAGAAGTACTCGCAGTAACATTGACAGTTTTATTAGATCCATCGTCTGTGTTTTTCTCTCATGTTTGTGTGTGAACCTGAGGCCAGAAAAACTCAAGGATGAAAGATGAAAGAGAAAGATGGAGAGATGAAGAGATGGAGGAAGGGAGGGAGGGATGGAGAGAGGGATGGAGGAAGAGAGGGAGGGAAGGTAAACAACACTGTGCCTCGGGATCCTCCAATCAGAGCCCGGCGAGCGCTCGAACCGGCCAATGGGAGCGCGGCCGAGCGGTCCGTCGCCACGGGAACGGTGACGTCGCGCCGGCATCTCCCTCGAGTTTGTTGGAGAGGGATGAGTCATCGCTGCCGCCGCCCACGAGCCACGCGCACCGGGACTGTATCCTGAGGCGGAGGGACACCGCACAAACATCACAACCACACACAGAGACAGAGAGAGAGACTGAGGCGGAGGGATACGAGAGAAAATAGAACAACAGAACGAAAATAAAACACAACTTTAAAACAAAATACATAAAGAGGAGGAGGGATACGACATATGAAAACAATAACACAATATTCAACCTACTTTATTTCATTTATTTATTTATTTATTTATTTCATAAATTATAAAAAGACGTCACAACATCAAACAAGAAATAAACATGGAGCAGAGAGAAGAGTCGACTCATGTTCTCGATCTGCCCCTTTTCTCTTTTCCAGACAAAATATCAACACTGATATTTATTTTAAAACATTTCAAATCAGTACATTTTAGTTCAGTTGCAATTATGATGTGATTTTAAATGTCGTCACTGAACCTGAATCTTTTATATGAACTCCTCTCAGAATGACGCTTCGCTCCATAACCTGAATCTGAATCTGTTTTTTTGCCTCTGTGTTTATAAATTTGATTCATCGTGAGTGAAGTTCATCCTCACAAAAACACACGTGATAAAAGTTTTTCTTCTCTCTGTCTCTTGTTCCGTCTCTTCTTTCTCCTGCAGATGGTTTGTTTGGTCAGTGCCACAGTCCGGACCAGATCCCGGTCCAGTACCAGGTCTCAGCCCAGGTCCTGCACCGTCTGCAGCAGGTCCTCAAGGAGCTCATGGAGCAAGGTTCAAAACACACACTTTGATTCACCACATTTGAAATGAGGATGTTTAGTGAGAATATAACAGTGTCATGTGTGTGTTTGTGTGTTATGTGTGTGTATATATGTGTGTGTTTACGTGTGTGTGTTTACGTGTGTGTGTGTGTGTTTACGTGTGTGTATGTGTGTGTTTACGTGTGTGTGTTTGTGTGTTTGAGCAGGTCTGACTTGGAGAGACGACATGACTCAGGCCATCATCAGTCAGGAGTTGAGCAGAGTCCCCACAGAGACGACCAAACAGGTCCTGCCTGGTCCTGGGTCCGGACCTGGTCCTGGTCTTGGTCCTGGTTATGGTCCCGGTCCCGGTCCAGAGGTTCGGTCTCCTCCGTCTCCGGACGAGCAGCTGATGCAGCAGTTTGTGGATTATATGATTCTGGAGCCGTCTCAGTCGTCTGTGCACAGCCCCCTGGTCGACCCCTACTCCTTCAAACAGGTCAGACTCTACAGACCAACTGACCCACAGACCACAGACCCACAGACCCACACAGACCCACAGACCACAGACACACAGACCAACAAACCCACAGACCCACACAGACCCACAGACCCACAGACCACAGACCCACAGACCACAGACCCACAGACCACAGACCCACAGACCCACACAGACCCACAGACCCACAGACCACAGACCCACAGACCCACAGACCCACACAGACCCACACAGACCACAGACCAGACCACAGACCCACAGACCCACAGACCACAGACCCACAGACCCACAGACCACACAGACCACACAGACCCACAGACACACAGACCACAGACCCACACAGACCCCACAGACCACAGACCCACAGACCCACAGACACCACACACAGACCACACAGACCCACAGACCACAGACACAGACCCACAGACCACAGACACAGACCCACAGACCCACAGACCACACAGACCCACACAGACCACACAGACCCACAGACCCACAGACCACAGACCACAGACCACAGACCCACAGACCACAGCCACAGACCACACAGACACACAGACCACAGACCCACAGACAGACCACAGACCCACAGACACCCACAGACCACAGACCACAGACCCACAGACCCACACAGACCCCACAGACCCACAGACCACAGACCCACAGACCACAGACCACAGACCCACAGACCACAGACACACACAGACCCACAGACCCACAGACCCACAGACCCACAGACCCACAGACCACAGACCCACACACACCCACAGACCCACACAGACCCACAGACCCACAGACCCACAGACCACAGACAGACCCACACAGACACCACAGACCACAGACAGACACAGACCACAGACCACAGACCCACAGACCCACAGACCCACAGACCACACAGACCACACAGACCCACAGACCCACACCACAGACCCACAGACCCACAGACCCACAGACCCACAGACCCACAGACCCACACACCCACAGACCCACAGACCCACAGACCAGACCACAGACCACAGACCCACAGACCACACAGACCACAGACCACAGACCCACACAGACCCACAGACCCACACACACAGACCCCACAGACCCACAGACCCACCCACAGACCCACAGACCCACAGACCCACAGACCCACAGACCCACAGACCCACAGACCACAGACCACAGACACACACAGACCCACAGACCCCACAGACCCACAGACCCACACAGACCCACAGACCCACAGACCACAGACCCACAGACCCACAGACCCACAGACCCACAGACCCACAGACCACACAGACCCACACCCACAGACCCACAGACCCACAGACCACAGACCCACAGACCACACACAGACCCACAGACCCCACAGACCCACAGACCCACAGACCCACAGACCACAGACCCACAGACCCACACAGACCACACACAGACACAGACCCACAGACCCACAGACCACAGACCCACAGACCCACAGACCCACAGACCCACAGACAGACCCACAGACCCACCCACAGACCCACAGACCACAGACCCACAGACCCACAGACCCACAGACCCACAGACCCACACACAGACCCACAGACCCACAGACCCACAGACCCCACAGACCACAGACCCACACACCCACAGACCCACAGACCCACAGACACAGACCCACAGACCCACCCACACAGACACAGACCCACAGACCCACAGACCCACAGACCCACAGACCCCACAGACCCCACAGACCCACACCCACAGACCCACAGACCCACAGACCCACAGACCACAGACCCACACAGACACACACAGACCCACAGACCACAGACCACAGACCCACAGACCCACACAGACCCACAGACCCACACACCCACTGGCCCACACAGACCCACACAGACCCACAGACCCACACAGACCCACAGACCCACAGACCCACACAGACCCACAGACCCACAGACCCACACAGACCCACACAGACCCACAGACCCACACAGACCCACAGACCCACAGACCCACACAGACCCACAGACCCACACAGACCCACAGACCCACACAGACCCACAGACCCACAGACCCACACAGACCCACAGACCCACAGACCCACAGACCCACAGACCCACAGACCCACACAGACCCACAGACCCACAGACCCACAGACCCACAGACCCACAGACCCACACAGACCCACAGACCCACAGACCCACACAGACCCACAGACCCACAGACCCACAGACCCCAGTCTGTCCTGAACCAGTGTGCAAAATTTCACAACTTTTTACCAAAGCTTCCTGTGTGCTGCCACAGACACCCCAGACACAAATATAATAATAATAATAATAGGATCACAAACTGAAACAATGGAGTCCTGCAGCTACGCCACAAGGCTCCAATTATCAACCAAAACAAAACTGCCGTCTGTTTCTGAGTTCCAGCATCATTTTATCACATGTGGTTCTGTGTGTCTCAGTCTCATCAGCCGCGATAGAAACTGAATCTTCCCACGTAACATTAAACGTTCTGCTTTCTTCAGAAACTTTTCTTTACTTGGATTTATCCTTCTTTTTCCTACCAGGGGTCAAACAGTTCTATAAATCGTGCTGCGCAGATCTGGTCTAGGTGTCGCACATCGGCGGCTGTCACTCATATTTTGAGCAACAAAAATATTTAAAAAGTTTGATTTGAGTGTTACAAGATTACCATGATCTACAAATTTAGAATTACATATAAAAAGAAACAAACAAAGATAATAAAAATACACTGTAAGCCGCGTGCTGCTGACCCCTGACACAGACCTGACAGTCTGTGGTCAGACTGTATCAGACCTAAGATACAGAGTCTGTGGTCAGGGCGTCGTCTGTGTCGTCTGTGTCTGTCGTCTGTCGTCTGTGTCGTCTGTCGTCTGTGTCGTCTGTCGTCTGTCGTCTGTCGTCTGTGTCGTCTGTCGTCTGTGTCGTCTGTCGTCTGTGCAGAGGCTGAGAGTTTAAATCAGGAGACTGTATTTCCCAGAGGAGTACTGAAGTACAGACTCTACTGTGTGTAGGGTTTAGTGTGTGTGTGTAACGTGTGTGTGTGTGTGTGTGTGTGTCGAGTCTCTGTGTTCTGGTTTCTGCACAGACCAGTTCATTTTAGAGCCACAGTAAAGAACAGACTTAAGAACATTAGACTTTTAAATGAAGTTATGATTAAATTATTCATCTAATAAATGTCACTGTGGGCGGAACTTTACCGAGTCTGGTTCAGGTCTGGATCTGACTTTAGTTTAGTCCAGGTCCAGCCCTGATTAATTCTGGCCTAGTCCTGGTTCAGTCCTGGTTTTAGTCCTGGTTTAGTCCTGGTTTCTCTCTGTCCTTTGCAGCAGCAGCAGTTCGGGTACCAGGACGAGGAGGAGCGCTCTCTCAACTCTCTGGACCAAAACCCGGTCTTGAGCCGGTCCAAGTCCCAGCCCGGGTCTCTGGACCGGGACCAGCAGCTGCTCCAGGACCTGGTCTCGTATTACCTGGGCCCCCCGTCGTCCGGCTCGTCTCACCACGCGGGGGCGCTCTCCTCTGGACCCTCCTTCTTCCCGGACTTGGACTTCCCTCTGGATTATGGTCACGACTTTGTGTCTCAGACCAAACAGCAGCAGCAAAACAGGAAACCACAAAAACAAACGCTGGCAGCCGTCCACGGTGAGACAAAAACACTAACACTATTCCATCCAAATCCACTTTATTTATTTAGAACATCTCCCCCTCACCTTGGTGTGATTGTTGTTGTTGTGTTTGTGTTTTTCAGAGGGTCCGGTGCAGAGTCTGGCATCTCTGTTGGATCACATCTCGGAGTCGGACAGACAGGACCTGCCCTCGTCTCTCAAACAGCTCAGTCTGGACTCGTCCTACCACGGAGCGCTCAAAGGTACAACGCAGTCTACACCATCTACTGGGTCCTCTGCATTTGACCCGTCCTTCAGTGATCTTGGTGTGGTCTTGGTCAGAACTTCTGTAGCTGGAGGATTTGACTGAAACCAGATGAAGAAACACACAGACACAAAGAAATAACTGGACTTGTTTTTTGTTTTTTTTTAGATCAGTATGACATATATTGCAGTAATAATAATTAAATAATTAAACCTGCAGTAGAAAGCAGAGTCCTGCACGGGTCCATTTTTGGGGACCTGCACCCGCCCGCCCCTGCACAGTACAGGGCCGCACCCGCCCGTTAACCTGTGATTATTTTAAAGTTAAATCTGCACCCGCCCGGACCCGTTAAGATTCCATCTGTTACCTTCATGCCCGTGATAAATCTGGGTCAGAACATTAGTCCGACCCGCCCAGTAGTCCAGGACTAAACCAGGACTGAACCAGGTCTAAACCAGGACTAAACCAGGACTAAACCAGGACTGAACCAGGACTAAACCAGGAATAAACCAGGAACTAAACCAGGGAACCAGGACTAAACCAGAAATAAACCAGAACTAAACCAGGACTAAACCAGAAATAAACCAGAACTAAACCAGGTTTTAACCAGGACTAAACCAGTCAGTCTCCTCCGCTGATGTTTTCATGTCATAAAAACACTAAAGTCACTGCCATTGTTCCAGGAAAAGACCGGAAAGGTCTCTTGTTTCCAGGGCAACGGACGCCCCGGACGCACGTCAGGTGTTTTTCTCCCGTTCGTCGTTCGTTTGATTCTCCTGATCCGTCCGTGTTTGATCACTACCCGCCCATAAAACTCCAGGACATTAAAACCTTCAAACCCACACATATTTATGAATGGGACAAGATCTGGATCAGAATCTGGATTCATATTTCAGACTGAAAATGACAACAAAAATATTAGATTCAATAAATAAAAAAACGGCGCATCCAAAATTGTGAACTTAAACCACAAACTGTTTGTGTTATGAATAAAGTCAGAGCCTCGTGTCGCGTTTCTCGTGTCGCGTCTCATCTCGTCCCCGTGAGGAAAGTGGAATCATTAAAAACTCACCCGCTGAGCTCAGAGCTGGAGGTGCTTCTGTTTGTGTCGCTGTCACATCAACGTGTTACAAATACCAGAGTGTGTCCCTGCTGCTGTGAGTGTGTCCCTGCTGCTGTGAGTGTGTCCCTGCAGCTGTGAGTGTGTCCCTGCTGCTG